ATATTAATTTAATATAATAATTTTTATAGATTCACTAGTGTATAATATTGATACTGAAGATATTTTTGCTGACTTGGCTGCTAATTATAGATTGTTGGACCGGATGGATACTGCTCACCTGCCCAGTACCCATCCATGTTATAGCAGGTAGGAAGAAGGTGCCCGGCTTCTTTTCGAACGGAGTCGATGCCATCCACTATTTCTAATATAATTTGTAAACACTATATATATATTATAACGAAATATGTTTTTTTTTTTTTTTAAATGATCCTGAGCCCGGCAACTGTGGCCATTAGCTATTAGTAGGTACTGTAGGTTTTTGTATTGATGGTTTGTATGTTTTTGGTACGGTAGGGGGGAACACGTGTGTGTTTGTTTTGGCAGAATTTCGAATGGGGCACCCGTAGGTTTCTGCCATGCCCCGGGGGTGGGGGATGGCAGCACTTGCTCTCCGGTCACCGCGACTTGTCCGGAGAAAAATGCCGCCCGGTGGCCGAGGATCGAACCGCGACCGGCTGCGTCGCAGCGGAAGAGTCAGACCACTCGGTCACCTCGTCCCCCGAAATATGTTTTACTTAAACTATTAAAACACAAATGTTCAGAATGCCTAAAGAAAATTTTCAAATCTTGGCGGTCAAGGATATGACCGGTGTAACTGTTAATATAGCAATGCAAGACAAATAAATGTAAATGTAGGGGTGCAGGTAAACTATGTACTTCTAAATGTCATGATAGCTTAAGTTGCAGAAAAAAAAATAAAAAAAATAGTTAATATTCATAAAATAAATGATTGTAAATTATTAAGATAACAAAAATAGTTTTATACCATTGTAATTGCCCACTGTGCTCTGGTCATTCTGTGCAATGCCTGGGCAAAGTGTATAATTGTCCACATTGTTCATTGAAATTTGGCATTGTATATTTGTATACATTGTCCGGGCGTTGTAGTACAATTAGACACTTTGACCGTAACATATACATAATGTGATATATTATATTATATTTATAGGAATTTATTTTAATATAATAATAGTGTACAATAAGGAAAAATAATAAGTGCTTATAAATTTAAAACATATACACTTTTACATTTTATTCAAATGCTAATTATAGATGTAGTACCTACCCAAGTAGGACTTTTACTGCCCGAAACCGTGATGAGTGATGACAGATACACACAAAAAAAATATATAAAAACTTAAAACAAGTTGTTTTCTATAAAGTTTCTTTTTAATTTTTTTACAATTATAAATATTAATTATGGTTTAAAAAAAAAGTAGTCATTTTATTATAGTTTGGTATAAAACTTGTAGTATAGGTATATAAAAAAATGTTTACTTAAAATGAATTAAATGAAGAATGGTGGTAAAAATGATAAAACAATTTTCTAATAAATATTAAATTTAAAGGAGATTATGAAAATGTGTAGAATTGTAAAAAATTATTTTTGCCCCCACGTGATTAGAGTCCAAGTTACGCCTATGCTTTTGAGGGACTTGGTCCGCTTTTACCTAAGGCACGTTGTAATACACAGAATAGGATCAAGCGTAAATAATGCACGATTGCACTTCCTACGGCATGTGCGATATTATATAATAATCCAACGTCGGACGGATCACTATTTTAATATTTTAAATTATAAATATATAATAACACGGTCATCCAATCGCGGTCGACAAAGAGCGTGTAGTGTGGCCTTCAAAAGTCGATCGTCGTCACTTGTCGGAGACGATTCACAATTCTAATAATTTTATTGAACAAAAGAGAAATATGTAAGGCAACAATAATCATTTGCTCACATATTTCATTCTACTCAAGTAATTTTTATACAAATCTCGATTTTTTCAGTTCGCGTTTAGACGACGGCATAATATCCAGGTCGCAGAATAATAACATATTTATACAATTAAATAGATGTAAATAGTGTTATACATACTAGTCATACTACAGTAGTGCAGTACACGGGAGTTCTTAGGTCCCTCAAAATTCAACTATTTTTATTTTTAGTTTATATACATGTTGAGTAATATATCAATATTACTATGCCGTCTGCTTGTGGTCGAACCGCGAATTAAAGTGACGCCGTCGTACATCAAACATCAAATTATGTTATAAAGCTGGGAAAGTCGCTCTGCTGATTATTGAATATCCATCGGAAATTAAATAAGGAAATTTTAAAATTTAAATATTCGCGAATAGCTTAAAGTATACCTAACCAATGCACTCAAAATGAATACATAAAATATTAATTATCTCATTTCATTATCTTAATGATCAAATCTCAAACACGGACCTCTTTGATATAAAAATTTGTAATATAATATCTATCTATGGTTCTATCATATTGACGTAGTATAAATTATAATGCAATCCGTGGCGATTCCTATCCATTCTTTATTATCTATGGTAGTTGCAAAGACGTAATCGATCTAAAATTTCAGTTAGCAAAACAAAACTTAAGTTCAGTCATAGGTATCTGATTTATTCCGCAGTGCACACACAATAATGAGGGATTCCGCCAAAGCCCGAAAGCGTCGATGTTTAAAGTAATTAATTTTGGTTTCATATTTTTTTTGGTGGTTAAATTTACTTTTTACACTTCAAATAAAAATTTAATTTCATGAAAAATATGCCACCCCTATGTAGAAACATATTTTATTTCTGAGAGTAAATGCATACAATACGAGAGATCGAGTAATATACAAACGCCGCTCGTCGTCGTTTTTCTGTTCCTTGATCGTAGGGTAATTTAAAGTTATTTCAATGTTAACCCCTAAACTTCTTTAAGATTTCGAGCGGAGCGATGAGTGTATTGATTTTACAATTTATTTTTTAAATTTTTTTTGTTCCTGTCTTAAAGTTATTTTGGGAGAGTAAAAGTGTTTCGATTTTCTTCAACAGCATCTTTTCATAATTAATATTAGCATATTCCAGACAAGACAAACATGTAGATTATTACAATATAGTTATATTTTAATAATAATATCATTAAAATATTTTTTGATATAAAAAAATCTATTTTCATTGTCTTGCTCGCCCAAAATATGTTTCATTCCTCTTCCGACTAACTATCATAATTTATTATAACATCAGTGCGTCACTGTAATAAGTAATAACACATCACTGCCGAACCACTATTTTTTATAAAAATGTATTGTCATAGGAAATTTATTCAAAGAAAGATTAAAAAAACGAATTGTAAATCGGAAAAATGTTTAAAAAAAGGTAAGGAACGATGGTATCAAAAACAAATAAATAACAATAGTAAAAAACTATATTTTTTTATGATAGGAAATAGTTTTGTACGACTGTTTAGTGTACATATCTACAACTGGTATGAATAATTTCAAAATAGGTACCTACTATTTACCTAATTGTAATTTTTATTATACTATTTTACATAATAGTCTAAAATGGTTGGTTAATAGACCATAAAGGTTAATCATTTTTATAATTCCCAAAAAATTGACGAATCGAGTCAGTTGTCTTTCAAAAAAATATCAACTAAGAAATATATTAAGACTCACTATATCTTAAGACTGTCGATAGAAAAGATAATCTTTGATATTAAACATATTTTTATCTCATATATTTTTATTTGGCTGTCGTTCTAATACTTAACTAGAAATATAAATGATGCAACTACACTATAACTTATAAATTACAATTATTTTTATATTTGTGTACGTTTTTTATTGTTACAACACAATAATATGGATGTCCAAAATGTTTATACAGCAACTACGTTTTAAACACATGTCGATGTAACTACATTTTTCGACTATAACACAGACAACATACATAATATTATGTTCAAGGCGGCAGATCAAAAGTAGTCGCTATAAACACATATATGTGCATAACGAAATGGGTACATCCGATTTCACGAAAACTCAGACAGGCAATGTGTGGTAGAGTAGCTTTGATTCGATTAATATTTTAATGACAACAGGGAAAAAATATATAAGAATTTATACAAAAGAGTTTCGTGGTTGGTTTCGACTTAAAGTAAATAGTTGAATAGCTCAATTAATAGATTTTTTTTCATGTTTGCAGTACAGTTGCACAGTAATGAACAGTAATAATATTTTATATTCTTACATAGCGCTATTGCGCCAATTAGTGGGTTTCAAATTATTTAATCGTGTAAATCGCAATTTTATAACTATTTCATATTCTCACCCTTAATGTTGTCCAGAAATCTATACATCCCCTTGTTGATAACGACTTTCAACACTTCTTCGTGATAGTCCTCATATACTCTCCGAAGTGAAAGGTCAGAAAGAGCATTAGAGGTTAACGAAATAAAATTAATTATTTTATAAATGAGATTATTTTATATTTTAATTTTGAAGCAACTTATGAGCAATTTAATTTTTAACATTTTTGTACATTTAAAATTTTTCTCATTTAAATATTTTAAATAAATTATGAAAAATATTATGCACCTAATCATTTTCTGTGAGACAATCTGATAGTTACATAAATTACTATTACCAATTTTTTTTAGGTTATAAGGTATATCAAAAAATACATTTTTTTATAGGATTTAATATTTATCATCATTATTGCAGTGATGGCGGCGGCTAGGATCCCGTGGTAATTTTTGCGATACGTTTATGGTAATAGAAATTCGGCAATATTATAAAATCGCATACACAGCATGATTGAGCTGTGGACTATTTGATAATATGTACCAAAAAATCACCAATAATTATTATCACTGGAGCGCCATTTTTTATTCAATCAATTCCGGGAATGCATAATAAATTCAGTTGTTACTTTTAAAAATGTCTCGATGTCCAGATCGGTATTATTGTACTATGAAACAAAGGGAACAGTAAATATTATAATGTAGCACTGAACAGTTAGGAAAAACTATAAAACAACCGTAATTTGTAATTACATTTTTTAATTATTTATATTAGTCGTGGATCACAACGTGTTTGAGCGGTGGTACATTATATAACGACACCGAATTAAAATAAAATATAGTTCAGGCAATCTAAACGCTGACAGCCTGCGTCTGGTTGGCCGTCCTCTTTTTGCCAGCGAGCTCCTCCTGGATTTCCTGTAGAGACTTGTTCTTTGTCTCCGGCACCAGGAAGAACACGAAACAGGTGCCCACCACGCAACAGCAAGCGAAAAATCCGAACGTGACACCGCGGTTGTAGTGATTCAACAGGGTATGATACGACTTGACAACGAAGAACTCAATCAACGACGCGAGCACGCACACGATGCCGATCGCCAGTCCCTTAAATTCCGGGCTGAACAGCTCTCCAATCATGACCCCCGGTATTGGGCCGAAACCGAGCGCGAAGGTGCTGATATAAATTCCCAAGCTGATGAGCGGCACCAGACTGAACGCAGACACGTCGACGCCGCGCTCCTGTTGATAGAAGTAGAAGGCCAGGGAACC